CAACTAAAGGACGACAAGTGGAAGACAAACAAACTAATAAGAGATACACAGCTTTGAGTTTGTGTATTTAGAGACGGTACTTTATGGTGGTTTCTTTCCTTGCTAGCTGTTAAACCTGGGTAACATGTCAAATGTACAGTGTTTTCTTGCTCGTTCAGCCAAGGCAACACAAGCGCCAAGCTTTTGGGTCAAAGCTTGAGGAGATGCAGTGTGCTGGTCACTACTGCGGGAAACTGAAGTGCTTTCAGACTATCGCTGCTTTTCTTCCCATGTGTGACTTTACTGAATGTGTGTGGTTCCCTGTGACTTGGTGACCTGTTTCTGAACCCCGAAGCCTTTTCGTTCGATCATCGCAGTGAGTTGTTTTCGTGCTACTTTTGCAGCGAAGAGTGGGGAAGAGACGTCATTTCACAAAAACAAAAAAAGGAAACCCATCAAAGAAGCTAGTGCAGTAGTCTCGGTGTAACTCTGAATACGAAAAAAATAAAAAATAAATTTGTCTGCTGTTAATTTTTTTACTTCTCAAAACAAAGAAACAAAGGTCTTTAACTGGTAACTTGAATGGAAGTTTGTGTTTAAGAACTACTCAGAAATGAGAGAGAAAAAAAAACTGACCTTAACGTGAAGATGTGACTTTTCTAATAGATTACGTAGTACTTTTAATCTAGAAAATCTCACAGCTCAGTTGTTCTGTAGACATTTATCTTGGTGTGAATTTATCCAAACAGCTGTTTATCAGTACGCTTTACTGCCTCTTGTAATTTTAAATATTCAAGGTCAAAATGTCAACTGTTAAGTGGCTTCTGTACATTGGTGGCATAATGAGAAATCTATGATTTCAGAAATCAAACAGTCAAGTGTTTTTACTATTGCTGTGTTCAAACTTTTGAATAAAGTTGCAGCTAGTGTGTCATTGTGACTGAAGTTGTTTTGATTGGTTAATTGATGGTGGGAAACATGAGGTCATGTCTCGTTCTCAACTTATCCAATGGGGTTATAAGCAAACCTGAGATGAAGGCTTCAAACTCCATCAGTGGTGTAATACTGCCCCCTCGTGGATGATATTATATTGACTTCTTTTTTAATAAAAAGGCCCTGAGGCTTTTTCTGCTCTGCTCTTTCATGGTGTCAGAAACATTTCATCATCTGTTGTTGTCAACAAGATTTTCTTTGTCTTTAAAAAGTGTAATCTGGAAAAATAAGAACATGAGAACAATTTACTCTTAATATTTGCAGGAAAGACAATAAGAATATGAATAAAAATGGGGCCTGGATTCAAATTAATACAATTATCCAGTTAACCTTTAGTCACTTGACAAAATATTCAAAATAAATTATTTAAAAATTATTATAAAAACCTCACGTACATTTTACCGTTTAATTTAGTGTTCATAATTATGTTGACCTCAACATAATTATTTAAGAAAATATTTGATAATTTATTTGCTTATGTGATTTTAGTTCTGTTGAGTCTTTCACTAAGTTGTTTCTAGGTTTGGGTGAAAATGTTGTTTTTTTTCTCTGTGTCCCTGTGATGGACTTGTGACCTGTCCAAGGTGTACCCCCACCTCTCACACTGTGGCCCGGAAAGAAAAAAAAAACAGGTAAAGATAATAAGGAGATATTATTTATTTATTTATTTATTTATTTATTTATTTATTTATTTATTTTAATCTACTTAAGCCTTTGAAATTAGCACAAATGCTTAAATGTGTATAAACCCAGTTTATTTAAAGCACATAAAACACACACCTGGCTTAAGTACCTTTTAAATATTCGGATAGTTATAAACTGCATCAGCATTATGGTGAGTATATGTGATTGTGCTAATAAAACGTTTGTAATTACATAAAAATATATATGATTAGACACTTTATTACGTTATTTGCGTAAATGTAAACTGGACTTTTATGGCATAGGGCACATTTTCAAGAGAAAAAAAACGTAATTAAGCATTTCATGAATACATTGTCTTTTTGTGTTTTAGATAAAAGTTTTTATGTATTTATAAAACATATAAACATTATTATTATTATTATTATTATTATTATTATTATTATTATTATTATTATTATTATTATTATTATTATTACAGAAATTTTCAATAAATATTCACTGAATGTACATTTATAACTAAGAGGCGTTTGGAGTCAGCCCAATTCAAAATGGCCACCACAGCTAATTTATATTAGCCAACACAAATGTGGCCATAACTCAGTTAGACCCACCAATACTGTGCTAAAATATCAGGTGTTGGTAGCCGAGAGTCATTCTCAAAACATAATCTGAGCACGACTTCTCGCGATACAAAATGAGAAAATGCACATTATTTTTATGTTTTGACCAACTTGACTTATCTAAAATTCCTTAGACTTCTAAACCCTTAAGTCTAACTCATATTGTTAAATAATAAGGAATATAAAGCTTTTTAACTTCATTATTATTATTATTATGAAGCGGAAACGTTTTTGTAACTCGTTAGCAAACAAAAACATTTTCAAACGCCGTTTACTTTACATTTGGGTAATGTAGTTTTTCAATGACGTCAACAACAGAGAAATCAACGAATAAAAACTACAAGTACCGATACGAGCTCGTTTCTTGCGCATGCTCACAACTAACCAAACAGGAGAAGACAAGGGAAGCTTGACAGAACACCGTTTCCTCTGTCATTTTTAGGTAAAAATCGGATGTCATCCGGCTAAATACTGCGTGTATAAGAAGTTATTCTTATCGGAATCACTTAACGTTATATCCTCTAACATCGACTTTGTCAAATTAATCAGCAGAAGACAACGGAAGACGAAATAAATTTGTATCTGTGTCCAGCCCGGAATCGCCGCTGCGTTTTAACGAAACCAACGCTAGCTAGCATCAGCTGCACCGGGGCCCAAACCAGCAACTTCCTCAGTGTCGGAGGGGTTTCAAAGCTTCCTGGTTGACATATTTTCAGAGTTATACAGAAGAGTGATGGCTTGCGGGGCTACTTTGAAAAGGACTCTGGACTTTGATCCGCTGAGCCAGGCTTCTCCCAAAAGAAGGCGGTGTGCGCCGGTCATGTCGCCGGTGTCTTCGCCTCAGAAATATCTGCGCATGGAGCCTTCGCCTTTTGGGGAAGTCTCGTCCAGACTCACCACAGGTAGGAAACCAGAAAGTTAGCGGAACTTTACAGTCCACACATGCCTCTGTCTGATTACAACACCCCCATCAGATCTGTCTGTTTGACTGCTGGCATCTCTAGTTCAAGTTGTTTTTCAATCAGGTGATCATAAAGAAGTGTTAATGAGTTTATTTCAAAGCCAGGGTTAGATTAGTTTAAACAGGTTGTTTTGTGTCCACATTACTGGAGTGCCATTGTTTAAAGGTGTCTGTTAAAATCACTTGTTTTTATTTGTTTCAGAGCAAATTCTGCACAACATCAAACAGGAGTACAAGCGTCTACAGAAACGTCGACACCTGGACGTTTCCTTCCAGCAGGCGGATCGCTGCTGTCCAGTGGATCTGCAGAACATCCAGGCTGGGTCTCCTCTACCAGGTAGACCCAAACACATCTTAATGCACAACATAAACAAAACAAGAGATCGCCTGCAGTTTGACGCACAACTGATTCCTTGATTTTATTCAACACACCTGCAGCTTGAAAACGAAACAACTTTTTGTTTACGTCTGTCGTGTGGTTCAAGTTTAGACGCTGGATTTGAGCGAGCTCTTCGGCTGATAAGCCGCTTAAAAAGAAGTGCAAACCACTTGTCTTTTTGTAAAAAGTTTTCTAATGTTTAACAGCTTTGTGTAGCAAATTTCAAAACACAAAACAATCGTGGGAAATACCCTGATTCTACTGAATAACAAGAACTTATTTCACTTTCTTTTTTCCTGTTTTTCCTAGTTGGCTTTAGTAAAAACAAACCTGAGGAGTTTGCCAAATGTTGTGAATTTCTCTTAATACAGAAGCAAATCATGTTTGAAGAAGAGCGTAGGGGGCTAGGGCTGCAACTAATGATTATTTTAATAATCGATTATTTTTTTCGATTAATTGGCCAAATCATTAAAACGCTTAATTACACGAATATGAGTAGACAAAAATTAATTTCATACCTGTATAAATTA